AGAGCGAGCTAAAACCACTTCATAGCCCACAGTTATTGATTTCTCCCACAGCAAAACGCAGTGTAGGAAAACATCTGGGGACGCTTGTGCGAGTTTCAACTTCACTTCGCTTTTTGCACAATGTGTGAACCTGCGTACCCCTCAGACCAAACGGAGCAGATTCTGCAGCGCTCTCCTCCACTTCGTTTGTGCGCCGATCAAAGGCGGAAAAGACTCACCCCGCGCAGACCAAGGAATAAAGAAAACAGGGGTCGTAAAGGTCTGAAAAACAGAAACGTGTGAGCCATCAGACGACTGAAGGTGCTAGACACATCCACTCATATGGGAGTGTGTCTGGTTAGCTTGTCATCTTAAATGAAGTGTCCTCTCTCTCTCCACGTTTTTGTCATCGTGACCAGCTGCTTTTTTCTGCCTCAAACAACGACAGTCGGTCACCCCGAACACTGAGATCAGTTCGTCCATCGCTGCCAGAGGGGAAAGCTAGTGGTTGTTTTCACCGTCAATTATTCTGCTGGTATTCTTCTCCATAAAGATGTTGATCTTCTACAATCTATCGCTCCCGAATTTCTTCCTTTCCTCACCTGCCTCATCAACAATGCTCTGTTATCTGGCTGTTTTCCCAATTCTCTGAAGGAGGCAAGAGGTAACCCACTCCTGAAGAAACCCACCCTCAACCCTTCTGAAGAAAACAACTACAACTACTGCGATCTTTAACCAACTCTCCTCCTATCTCCACCGTAACAACCTCCTTGACCCCCACCAGTCAGGCTTCAAGGCCATTCCACAGAGACTGCTCTCCTCGCTGCCTGAGAGCAACTCCACACTGCTAGAGCCGCCTCTCTCTCCTCTGTCCTCATCCTTCTGGACGTCTCCGCTGTTTTGACAGTGTCAACCACCAGAACCTTATTTCCTCCCTTCGGGAACCCTTCTCTCGTCCTACCTCGACGGCCGCACCTACCGGGTAACCTGGCGAGGATCTGTGTGGGAACCTTGTCCTCTTACTACTGGAGTTCCTCAGGGTTCCGTCCTGGGTCCCCTCCTCTTCTCGCTCTACACCAACTCATTGTCATTTCCTCCCATGGCTTCTCCTACCACAGCTATGCCGATGACGCCCAACTTATTCTCTCGTTCCCTCACTCGGACACCCAGGTGGCGGCACGGATCTCTGCCTGACTGACTGACACCTATCAGTGGATGTCGGCTCACCATCTGAAAATCAACCCTGACAAAACTACTTCTCTTTCCGGGAAAAGACTCTCTGACCCACGACCTGATGGTCAACTTTGGCAAACTGCTCGTCCCTCCCTCACTGAGACTAGAACAAAACACTCGACTAGATCACGACGACTTTTCTGTCCTTCCTCCTAAATGGTGGAACGAGCTCTCTGAAGACACCAGGACACTTCACATCTTCCGCCACAAACTAAAGACACACCTCTTCAGACTCTACCTCGACTAAAAGACTTACAAATTGTATCACTTCAATTGAACTTGTAACGCCACTCATCTATAGCAAATTGGCTTATTTGAGGAAATTGCACTTTCTTGTTTCTTGCTCTTCTGAGTTTGAAATGCACTTATCGTAAGTCGCTTTGGATAACAGCGTCAGCTAAATGACATGTAATGTAATGTCTATGAAAGACCAAAATAATGTAAAAAAATGTCAATCAAAATAAGCAACGTTAGAAAATAACACATTATTTTTGGAAAAAGTTTAAAAGTCAGCTTATGGCTCCCAGTATGCATCTTGGCGAGAGGCATCCGATCATTCCCTGAGTGTGAGATACTGTGATGTGCAGCCCAAACGACCCACTGACTCCAAAGATCAGGCCTCCTGCATCGAGAGAAAAAGACGATACCGTCTGCAGCATTTTACAGATCAGTTCTCTTTTGTATTCTGGCAAATATGGCGCCATGTCTTATTCACATGTTCAAGGATGAAATGTTTTATATTCACTTCTGTCTGCTGTAGTAATGGAAGCAGAGACTGCTGTAGTATTTTGACGCACATTTGGACCCATCAGTCACATTCAATGGAGTTAACGAACACATTCTGACATTTGAGAGGCTAAAACTATTTTGGCAATTTGGCATTTTTGATTGATTGTGAAATGCTTGTTGATACATTTTGTTTTGATAATTTTAGCCCCAGTCCATCCAGAATCTTGGCAATTATTTTTCATTTGAGCGTAACAATGGAAATAACCTTGAGGGAACAAGACCATCACCAGGAATCGATCTCTGGCAGATCTTAAGTGTAAATCACAAAGTCATGATGGATTTAAATATTTAGTTGTATGGGATCACGCTGAGTGAAGTGTGACGGGCTGTTGGGCGGTGATCCGCGGTGGGGAGCCGAGCCCCGATCTCCCGATGGGGGCCCCGGGCGTCTGTCAGGTCCAACCAAAGTCAAATGAGTGGAAGTGAAGTTTCTAAATGATCGCGTGCTCAGTTTTAATGTGCGACTATGTGAAAGGCGTAGACGTTTAAATGAGTTAAATGAGAGAAAAAACACACCAGTTTGTCCCATCATTCTTTTTTCCTATTAGTTTATTTTTCAGTTGCTTAGAAAAACAAAACAAAAAACCCCCCCAGAGCTTACAAGATGACCCACTACACGTACAGCTCGTCTCACCGGGACCTCGGTCTTCAATGTCCATGCAAATATGCAAATGGAGGGGCGTCTCATTCAATAGTCGAGTCATTGGACCCCGAGCAGAAAGGTCTAAGGGCACACGGGGGGCCGGGGAGGCTCCAGTACCACAGACGACAGGGGGAGGGACGGGGTCTTACTCCACCTGCCCCCATCTGCTGTGAGAGCAAGTTGCTCTTTGCATAATGGAAACTCACCGGTGGGTATTTTCTTTTCCTGGACTGAAACGCTGTGATACGACACTTACACAGCAAGCCGGGTGTCACAACGGTTTCACGTCTCAGAAAACCCAACCAGACGGGTTACATACATATATAGAGATATATCTATATCTCTATATCTGTAGATATATCTCTATATATATTCATACATGACCTTAATATAATTTAAATAAAAACCTAGAAAACGAAATAAAGAACAAAACAATAAACCTAATGACCTCTTAAATGGACAAACACTTACAGCCCGCCTGAAACAAACAAACAAACAAACAAACATCTGGGAGCTTTAAAATCACCTTCCTCATCCAACTCATTTCTGGGTGGTGTTCCTACGTCACAGGATTCATAATTCTTGATGCAAGACAGATAAAAAAAATGATATAACATTATAAAATTATAGAACACGGAGATTCAACGGGTGACCATGTATGTATGCGCATACGTATTTGCACACGCATGCGCACGACTACTCCCAAACAAAGAACTAGGTCGCCATAGGAACGACCACAGTCGCCCGACCTCCGTTTTGAATACTTGTCGATATACTGAATGTAGAATATATAGAGCCCACATGATTGGCTTGGTGCGTGAAAATCATGTCACACACGTTAGCTGGAATGAGAGAGGGGGGGGGGGGGGGTCCACGTGATAATTAGCAAATGAGGTCACATGATAAGAATTCTTCTTTTTGTCATTGTCATCTTCAAATACACAGGTTAATAGTTGTCGTTTTTCCTCAAACACAAAAGCAAATACAGTCAATATTAAACACTTGCAAAATGTCCACTGCAACGAACGGCTCGAGCACGGGAACATTTTAAAGAAGCGGATCACTTCCCCGTGTGCCATGCTCTTTATGTCGTCCCATCGCTTTCTGTCCTTTTAGTAACCGAATGATGCGAGTCAGTCCTCCGCATGTCCTCTGCTGCCACCGGCCGCGCAGCCAGGGAGCTCCTGTGAAGATGCATAAATTATAAGGCCACTAGTCCATTAAAACATCCTAAAAACCCTCACGACGCTCGACCCATGTGTCTCGCTACTGAGATGTTTGATATGAATCCACCAGCACTGATTCGGAGTCTAACCTTTTAAAGTAAGATTTTTTTTTTCTCCCAACTTTAAAGCAAAACAGTGCAAATCAAACCTGTGCAATAAGGCCTACGTCTACTACCTCATACATACATTTCTTTTCTTTTTTTTTGATACCAGAACAAGACTTCAACGTGAACCAACAATAAAAACACTACATGATTAAAAAAAATAATAATATCAAAGATGTGGTTTACAAAGCTTATACATGCGCAACTAAAATAAGGAGACTTCCCCCGTAGGACCAAAACAAAGGAACGATCACACAGCAGCTTTTGCTTTAATGATTTTCCAATGCTGCTGCTGCCCCCCCTCCCAACTGCAATATCTTAACTGCTTCTGTTGGTGACGGCGGCCGCGGCTCGGGGAGCTGGGGGGGGGCCGGAGGGGTGTGTCGGCTCACATGGGCTCAAGCAGCCATCTGCCGCCCTACTGCAGCCAGCCTGATCCTTATCCTCCACCCAGCCCGGCGCAGCAGGCCCGCTGTCTCATCTCCACAAAAAGGTTTCCCGCAGGGGAGGGGGTGGGGGGGGGGGGGGGGGACAAAGGCTGGAGGAGGAGTCGCGGGAGCTCCGCGGCGAGGCCCTTTGACCTGCTCCCTGGCCCGGCGGGGCCGACGGCCCAGACAGACAGCCCCGTGTTTGCTCCCTGCCTCCTCCTCCATCTCCTCTCTCTTTTATTATCAGCCACACCAGACCCCCAGGGGCCGACGGAGAGAGACCTTGGGAAGGGGGTTGCCGAAGGGGGCCGGTGACCACCATGAGGGGACTGACACGGACTACCCTGACCTCCCGCCCTTCCCCCCCACCTCAATTCATCTTAGGTGCGGGATCGCTCAATTCCCTACAGGCAGGCTGGCGCCCCCCCCTCTCTTGTCTATTTCCTCCTTTATCCCTCAGCAGCCAGCAACCCATGTGTGGCCAAGCATGCCCCTACTGCCCATTAAAACATGTTCACTGTCAAACATGCCTTTTATGGTTTGAATAAAAAAGCATTTTTGCGGCGCCGCGAATGGGCTTTTTCACAGCAAACTGGGACGAAGTGCGGGTTCATCTTCTTTGTAGAGAAACTAGCAATTTATACAAATAAACTCTGTTTTGGTGGTCAACCGGAAAAACGCTTCCTTGGGATGGGTGTGTGAGGGGGGGTGGGGGGGGGGGGTTTCTCTCCTCCTCTTCTCCTGTGCGAGCCGGCACCTAGGCAGTGGTGGTGAGCTTTTGGATGGTGCGGTCGTAGTATTGGGTGGTGAGAGCCTCCAGGGGGCTCCAGCGATGTGCGTGCAGCTCGATGACCTCCATGAGGAGCGAGCGGCTCAGCGGCGACTCGGCCGGACTGAGCATCTTGTCCCGGACGGCCGCGAGCAGCTCCGTCATCATCTCCGGCAGCTGCTCCTCCAGGAGACGCCCCATGCTCTGCAACTGGTGAAGAGGAGAAAAGGGGATGAGGGGGGGGGTGGAGGTGAGAGACGCAACAACATTTGGCACCTTGTTTCTCGGGATTGACTTAGACATCACGGGGGCCCAAACCCCGCCGTGAATGTGAGAGACAGAGAGCAGTAGCATCAGGAAAGCAGTTTTGTTCATTGGGAGAAATATCACCACATTACACTTGTTAGAGAATAATGATCTTATTTGCATCTCATGGCCGGTGAGCTGAACCCGACTCCCCGATTGAAACTGTAGTTGTACTAGAAATCACCGGTGCTACTTTGTTATTCATAACCCTCAGGAGACGATGTGTTTGAGACGGAACATACGGAGCTGAGCATCATCATGCAGCGCTGAGTGCGTTTCTAACCTACATTCGTTTTAGAAATGTTCCTGCGTTTACTTTGCCTAGTCCTCTAATTTCAGCCTCTCGCCTCTAACAAAGAACCAAGTGTTAACTCTGTGTGTGTGTGTGTGTGTGTGTGTGTGTGTGTGTGTGTGTGTGACAGGGCACCGTACCTCCATGGAACAGCACAGGACCGCGTCTTCCTTGATATCCGTGGACTCCAACAGCTAGAAGAGACAAGCGCAAGACAGCGTGTGAGGACAGCGGGACCCTGCAGAGCTGCGGCGCGCGGATATAGAAATGTATATTTGGATGTGGGCCACGTGTGCGCGAATCAGAAGAGACTTTATCTCAATTGTTAATATTTCTTCTACATTAACATTTAAAATCATGTCTGACTTTGCGCACACAGTATGTCTGCACACAGACACACGCACAGAGACACACACACACACACACACACACACACACACACACACACACACACACACACACACACACACACACACACAGACAGACAGACACAAAACAAACAGTGGCGCTGGTAAACATGCTGGCTGGCTTTCCAGCCCCGGGCCACTGGCCCCAGGCACCAACGGGCAGACAAGCGGCCCTTTGGAACAATGCAGGGGAGAAGATGGAAACAAAGAGGAGGTGGAGGCACCGCGAGCCTTCTAGTGCTTTGTTCTTTGTGTCCTCCTCACACGTGAGGGAGGGGAAGGAAGTTACAGAGGGAAAGAAATGGCAGAATACTAAAAGTGTGTGTATACTTTTATTTATTACAAACTATGATATTTTTTGTAACATTTCTTTTAACATATGCTATAAGATTTGGGGTCTTTTTCCCCCAAACTATGGCTGTTTTCATTAGTATGTCAAACTCCATGGCTCACCATGACTTTATGACATGCTTTGACTTTCAATGGCATATGTACCATGACGAGCATACATAATAGATAATACCTTAATAATTGAACTGAGGTAATAATAGACACAAAGAACATGAATTATAAACTAAGCTTAACTATGTCAAATAATGGAATACTAAATTCCCGGCATGGTGTAAATAAGAGTTTCTTCTTAAAGAAAAGGGAACGCTTCTATTTTCAAAGTCAAAAACTAAAAACAGGCACGAGGGCATCGAAAGTTCCGCTCCCACTAAAGACTAAAGATTTGCTAAATGAGTGTATAATACACTTACGACTGAGTAACAAGTTTGTTTTTTTTGCTTTTTTCCCTGTTTGCTTTATGCAGGAAACAAAAACAAGTCACGGAAATGACATCTGGATCTTTGCATAACCGCAAACAAAATAAAGGATCCCCACCATCTGACGCTGAGATCCGCGCTCGATGCGAGCTGTTATGTCTAAGCCGAGCGCTTAATGGCGTTCCGGGGCCGTCATTCAGGCCTAGCGGACGTCCGCCCGGCGGCGTGCCGCGGCGGGCGCCGTTTGATGTGGGAACCAAAGTGCCGTCGTTCCCGGGGAAGGAGAGCTATGTGACAAGCAGGATTAGCTCATAATGAGTTCTCTGGGGAGCTCGGGTAAAGTTATTGCTCAATACCTTTTTCAAATGGTTTAATCTATATTCATTTAGTCAGTGCCCATATCCACTGCAATTGCTTGGCCCCCCCTCCCTTTCTACCCCCCCTTCTCTTGTCTGTTTCTCCAGCTCATCTCTGTAAAATATATGAATCACATCATGTTACCTGCATTTTGTCGGCAGAACGGCTGCAGATTCAAACGCCGTTTCTATGAGACAAATGCAGCTCGGCTGAAACTGAAAACGAATCAATCTCTGATAGTTGCATAAGAAAAAAAATACACATTGCGACTTTATCAGGAACAAAGTAGGACGGCTGCAATCGTCTTGTAATACTGAACGTAGAACAACTAAGAGGTCAACTAGTTATTCATTAAACAGAAAAACACGTTTCATCGGAGTGCTGATGACACGAACCAGCGCTCAACGTTAATACGGTTTCAACTTGAATAGTTGCATAGCAACAGCAGGTCTGGCTGCAGAACAAACAATCAATGATGCTCAAAATATTGAAGTTTTGCCTTTTCTTTTTTTTTTATACATAATCATTGTTCTATTATACTTATTTTCTGAGCTGATGAGGGGAGACCGTGAGGGCCCACGCTGAAGTATGCACGCACGATATAAAAAGCCCCCGAGGACACCACACGGCCGCCAACGTGCACGCTCTCTGCAAACCAGCACCCCGATGAAGGCGTCTGTGGGCCACGTGCACGTCTTTTCCTTCGGTAGGAGATTGTTATATGATAATTTGAGTGCCCTGCTGCTTGCCCTTTTCTCCATCTGATTTTCCACGACCGTTGTGCAGGCTGTGCAGGACTGTACCTCCTTTTGAAAAAGATACAGTATTTTAATGAGACTCTGTTTTGCATTGTAAATGTGCAGTGCAGTACAGGCTGTGCCGTACACACATTTACGCAGTTGTCTGGGTTCATTTTATTAAAAACTGTAAACCTTTGATTTGCCTGCGTTATTTAAACAGTTTAATGGCACCGCTGTTTGGCTCAATCGCTGCTCTACCGCAAAGTCTCTTAGCAACCAATACAACTACAGTAACATGCTAAAAGTGTAGCAAGCAAACATGTGACAACTTCAAATGTGATTTGTCAGTTTACGGTTAACATCAGAGGCGAGTAACCATGGGGAATAAGGCCAAAATCGATATTAACGTGTGCTTCAATGCACACGTGTGTAAGATTATTTTACATCAATGTGGAATTTATGTATTATTTATTTTGGCTTGTAAATCATGAATGGATGAGATCACCGCCCGCCGGCTTGCTTCTTTCACGTACAGCTGTCATGTATCCTCAGACACACGTCTCAGCACACCTCAGTTGTTACATAACCCTGTTCTGCCGCCGGCCGAACACACACACACACGCACACACACACACACACACACACATACACACACACGCGCACTCAGGCTGTGAGGTACAAGATCTCACGCACGGTATGACTTTCTCACGTACCGTTCTTACCGATGTTACGCCAGAACAACTGACGATGCTCTTTGGCGGGCGGCAGAATTTAAAAACACCACATGACACATAAACAATTTGTAACACCAATAAAAAATAAAAATTAACTCTGTTGCTACATGAAAACACGCAGTACAGTTTCGGGAGGAACAATAGGCGGCCAGAGAGATGCAGCCCGAGAGAGGACCTGTGTCCGTTTGGAGGGTTTTGGGTTTTGGAAAATTACGTTGGATCAGAAAACGATTCATTGCAAAGTCTGTCGAGCCTCTGGTGGCAACAATAGCAGCCACATCGAACTAGCTAACTAACTAACGCGCCGGCCCGTTGCTAGCGAGTTGGCCAGCGAGCGGCGATCAACGGCCCTTTTCGGGGTCAATGAATGAATGTGTTTACTTGAAAAAGCAATACAGTGATATCAAAATCTTTCTAAATACCGTGATATGGATTTTTGGCCATACCACCCAGACCTTACTCAGGCACACACAGTCTCATGAAAACACACAGTCATATGCAAACACACGCACGCACGCACGCACACCCACACACACACACACAAAAACAGACTACAGCTGGAATCCAACAACTACATGTTACAACACGATGGGGCAAAACAGCAAATGGATAAAAATCTGAAACTATGGCAACCACAAGTCCACTAAATCACATATTACTATACAAACATGTTGAAAGTGTGCCAAGAAAACATCAGGCCAAATGTGACACTGCCGACGATGAGGAGGAGTGTTACGAGCCGTGGGTCAGGACGCCAAGTCCTCTTAACAAGCGGCGATAACGCTCCAGCACGCGCTCAGACAGGGTGTGGATGGCAGTTCGTGTTGATTGTTGGGTGTGTGTGTGTGTGTGTGTGTGTGTGTGAGAGAGTGCGAGACGGGCAGAGGTGTGGACGTGGGTGGTGAAACGACCTGGCACGTTCCTCAAACCGGCCATTGGCCTCTTCTCAACCCCTCGACAATAGACATGGAGACGGCCCGCTAGATTCTGCCGTCCCTCGTCTCCGTTCTGCTTTTGCGCGCCGTGCCATTACTAAACTGTAACTGTCAACCTGACCGCAGACTCCTTTGCTTCCTCTCACCTCTTCCCTTCTCCCCCCCCCTCCGCTCGCTCGCTTCCCCTTTCAATAATCCGGCTTTCGTCAACCACTTCTGTATCGCGGCGCGTCTGCCGCGGCTGCCCTGTTTGGTCGCCATAGAGACCGAGGCCGTGTGTGCAAGACAGCAGGATCAGCTGATGAGAAGTGAACCCTGGGGTCATGCATGTTCCTGGAACTGACGGTGTCCCGTGCACCGCAAACAAAACCACGCTGCGGCGAATCGAGTCTAGACGACGTCCGGCACAAAAGGGGAAACTCGGTGCGCATTTCCACCCGGGCAGACCAGATGTACAGTCCCACCTCCACGCTTTCATTTTAGCTGGCATATTGATTGGTGAAAAAAGACAAAGGTGTATCTGGATACAAGGGCTGTCAATGAATATTCTATATTCACAAGTTGTTAAAAACAACTATTCGAATGTGAAAATGAATATTCTAATGTAAAAAAAACAACACAACAGCGGCAGCGGCGCGGCTGTCTGCTTTGCAGGCGGGCGCGCGCCTGACTACGGACTGTATATTGCATGAATAAAATAAGACTAGATCGGCTACAACAGCTTCATGCAGTGGTTTGATTATTTGCCGTTTCATGCCAATGAAAAGTTCAGTGTTTACAGCACAGCCCGATCACAGCGTTCACTGTCGGGACTGTCAAACTTTCAGTTTCAACCACTGAATGAAGCCTGATGTATGAGGGACAAGAATCGCGAGAGGGAGAGAGAGAGAGAGTGTGTGTGTGTGAGCGAGAGATCTGCGGTCGTGGCCATTAGTTAATTTACTTACATTTTGTGTAGGTAATATTCTGTTAAATATGTTTAAACTTAAATAAATTACCTATACAAGTAGTTATGTCTCGTTGTAATAATGTTTCCTGTTATTGTCTAATGCGCAACCAGATATTCAAATATATGTGTTTTTTTAAAGCGAATATTCAAACGTCATTTGACAGCCCTCCTGGATACAGACCTCTCGCAGGCAGGTGTAGATTGGACACACCAGCACCCTGAAGGGGTCCGCTGAGCTGCTCCTCATGGTGCCAAACACCTCGCACAAGAAGGTGATGAAACCCAGCCACCGCTCCACATCCGACTGCTGGAGCTCCTCCCGACAGGCAAAGTCCCTCTGCGAGGAGGCGGAGTGGAGGGAGAAAGAAATAATACATTAAAAGAACAAATTGGCTGTAGAAAATATAATTGAAAAACTGCAGTCCAACCATCTTTTGTTAAATGTGCGATACGAATTCACAGTAGGCGGCAGGTCGGTGTACATGTAAGTGTTCCGCAAATTCATCAGCGGGGTTGGTAATCACCACTAACATCTCCGCTATCTCCCCGGCGGGAGCTTCTGTAGGTGGCGCGCGTATTAACCTCCCAGCTTAAAGCACTTGAAGCCAAAAAGCAGTTGAAAAGCACATTGGAACAAATTCATGAATTTCTTTCATCTGCCAGAAGTAGAAGAGAATATGCTAATTTGGTTTGAAAGCGAAGGGTAGCAAACGGTGTCAATGCGGTAAAAGTGTCGGGGTTAATACGGGTCAATGCGTTTAATGCGCACTTGTGGAGACGTTCCGCGGCAGGTTCAACTGAAACTTTAGTGGCAGTCGGGAGGAACTCGCTCTGGAAACATTAACGGCTTCATTTCCACCGACCTCCGCAGCTGCACCGACGGCCGGCTGGTACGCGGACGCAATGCGCGGCCTTGAACAGGCGACAGTGGTACGAAATAAATCCATCCACTGGAATACAAGTGCACCCGCCTCCCAGTGCCCACCGTGCTGGACACTTCCACAGCAGACACACGTCGAAGAGCGGACGAAAACACAGTAGTGAAGTGACGGAGAAGACAAGCTTATTAAAGAAGGGGGGGACGAGGAAAGGTGCCGATGGCGTTATGAAACAAACGGAAAGGCCACAGTTCTCCTCGCGTGGAAATGAATAGCGTCCGACCACGTTAAGAGACAGCAACAACAAACCGCCGTGCCGCTCGTTTTACACTCAGACTAATTGCCCCCACATTGAGATCTAGGAGTCTGGAAGCAACATCATTAATGACGGCCTTCATGAGCCCACTGGTGGCATTTAAAATGTTTTAAAGCAACAACAAAAAAAAACCTGAATGTCAAAGACAGGGAGGGGGTCCATGCTGGCTGGGAAGTGGGAATTAAAAAGGGAGAAGTGAAAGAAGAGGAGGTGACCGCAGAGCTGTGAAAAAGAGGGAAGAAACAGGGAGCGTCGTAACGATCAATGCTGCCGGGTCGGGGATGAAAAACCAAACACCTAAAAGGTAGAGGTGTTTCAATGGAAGAAAACCACAAAAACAGAAGGGAGTGTAGGGGTGGGGGGGGGGGGGATTAAAATGAGCATCCGGGGGGAGATGAAAAAAAAAAAAAAAGAGTAAGAGTCAAATGAAGGCAGCAGGGGGGGGGGTTTAACATTTAGACCACAGCGGTCTGAAGACAGCATGTAGGTCTTGTTTGCCTCCTGTGTGAGGCGGAGTTTGTCCCGACTATCAGGATGGAGGGAGGGGTGGAAGGGAGGAGCAGGGTGCTTCTGGGTGAGGGGGGGGCAACAAGCCGGGAGGAGGCAATAATATAGAGCTCATGAGGAACGAGGAGGGGGAGAGAGGCAGTGAAATATGGGCGAGAGACTTGAACTGTTAAGTGTGTGTGTGTGTGTGTGTGTGTGTGTGTGTGTGTGTGTGTGTGTCATCAGGTCTCCCTGTTTAGATTAGCCACTGACATTTACAGTAAATCACACACACACATTTTGCTGCCACCTGGAAGTGCTCCCTCATTAAACTATTTAAATTAAAGGGAGAATTCAGTTGAAAACGACCGGTTCGCCAAAAAATCTCTACTCTATTATCGAGCACCGGTAACGCTCGACCTTTGATTAGGTTAATCAATTGACAATTGAGTTTACAAAATGTCATAAAAAACGTGGAAAAATACCACTCACAATCTCCCAGAGGCAGTGTTTATTTAAATTGGGCTGCTTTGAAGTGATAACAGCCTCCATTCTAAGATATCCATTTATTCGATTATATAAAAAAAGAGAAGAGCAGTAGATTCACACAATTAAGATGCTGCGACGAGAGCAGCAGATTTTCCCAAACCAATAACTGGAGACCACAGAGTCCGCCTCGATCTGACCTACTTATAAGGTCGATAGGTAATGTGTTGGAAGTTGGGAGGGGGGGGGGGTGAAGGTGGGGGGCTCTCACCTGCAACGAGTTGAGGAGCAGCGACCTGAACTTGGTCCCCTCCACCATGAACAGCGCCATCTTGTCGCAGAGCTTGGCGGCCGTGGAGGCGAAGCTCCGGTCCGACACGGCCTTGGCGTAGATGGTGCTGACCACCTGGGCCAGGGCCTCCTCGGACCGCGCCGAGCACTGCGCCTCCTCCATGAAGGAGGCCAGCTGCTGCTCCACCCCGCTGCTGTTGCTCCTCATGCTGTTGAGGAGGTCCACCAGGCGGTCCATGCTCTGCGAGCCGGAGCCCGGCGCCTCCACGCGCGCCTCCTCCTGAGGCGGGGGGAGGAGAGCAGTGGGTGACGACAAGAGTGGAGTGCGCATATCAAGGGCTCACACTATTGAACCAACATCCGGATGTCTATTTAATTTATTTGCAATTCAAATATGATTTTTTTCATTATTACTACTTTATTAGGGCGGCACGGTGGTTAGCACTGTCGCCTCACAGCAAGAAGGTCCTGGGTTCGATTCCGCCCAGTGGCCTTTCTGTGTGGAGTCTGCATGTTCTCCCCGTGTCTGCGTGGGTTCTCTCCGGGTTCTCCGGCTTCCTCCCACAGTCCAAAGACATGCTCTGGGGATCAGGTTGATTGGGGACTTTAAATTGCCCGTAGTTGTGTGAATGTGAGTGTGAATGGTTGTGTGTCTCTGTGTAGCCCTGCGATTGGCTGGCGACCAATCCAGGGTGTACCCTGTCTATCGCCCGAAGTTGGCTGGGATGGACTCCAGCCCCCCCGCGACCCTGTGTGCAGGATAAGCGGTTTGACAATGGATGGATGGATGGACTACTTTATTATTATTACTTTTATTACTATTTGAAGTACCACAACAATCAACCAATCCATCACAACACTGAATGGCAGCATGTGTGTGTGTTCCCGACCGCCTTAATGCTGACTGACGGCCACTAAGCAGCTTTTGGGTACCTTGTCCTTTAGCCTCCTCCTCAGCCTCTCCTTGGACGACTGCAGCAGGTTGATTCTGGGCTGCTGCTGCGACTGGCCCCCGCCGACCTTCCCACCTCCTGGCGCCTTGGGAGACTCCTTCCGGACCGCCGGATGTGGCCGGGCGTTTGTGCCGGCTGTCGACTCCGGTCCGGGCGACTCGGCGGGGCTCTTGCCGCCGCTGTCGGGGGCCGTCTGATCGGCTCCTCCTCCGGTTTACATTCTCCGTCTCTTTGGTAGTTCTTGCGGGGACTCCTTTGTCGGCCGTGAGTTTGTCTGTCGTGCCCTGCCCTTTTGACTTGGGGGCCAGCGCGTCTGGCTGTACCCGTGGTGCGGGATCCCCTGGGCGGCCGTGACTCCTGGTACTGGCGAGGCGGCCGACCGGCACTGATGTTCTGTTGTCTCCTCCCGTGAGATTCTGCTCCTGCTGGTTTGGAGATGGATGCTGGGGACGGATCCCCTCTGGTGCTGCGGTGACTGCTGCTGTATCAGCTGAGGTTGGTTCTTCCCTCGTCCACCTCCTCCTCCTCCTCCTCCTCCTCCACCACCACCTCCTCCTCCCCCTCCTCCTCCATCTCCCTGAGGCCGCTGTTGTCTCCTGGAATGAGAGCAAGTTTCAGTCAGCCTCATTGTGATCTAGCGGCAGCTGGCTGCTTTCTATAAACTACTCTGTGTCACAATGGCACCCTGATGGTCTCCAGCCCCCCCCTCCCTCCACCCCCCTTTTCTGTTTCATCAAGCGACTAGACAGAAACTAGAAAATCACCAAAAATTCAAAAGCCCGGTGAATGCTTACATGTGGCTCCGTCCTTTTGCTGCGCTGACTGTGGGCTCGACGAGCCGCTGACAGATGGTTCGGGGGATTAGTCGCTCTGGCACCGAGGAGGCGACCGATTATCCGCACGTAAACTAGCACACCTTCGCTCAGACGCAGTCTGGGGAATGTACATCTTTTGGGGCGTAGGGATGGATATAAATAACCAGGGACAGAGGGCCAATCGAGGATCGTGAAATGATGGGTTTTATTCTGGTTCCCCTTAAACGGTGGAGACCTGAACACTTCATCAATGAGCCTGAAGAAGGAGCACTTAGCATCCACTGAGGCTCACCACAAACCTGATTCACTTCATTTCACCCGCCACAGACCACAGATGGAAACTAGCTAGTTGCCGAATCGGATGGTTTCAATAGAGAAAACGAAAACACACAAAGCAACTGCGCTGAGCTGCACCTCGGTGCGCGAACGGCGACACGACAGCGAACGCTTACTGAAGGACAAATGAAACACTGGGTCAAATCCAGCCTCACGTTTGAAATCGATTGTCGCTACTAGGTCCATCATGGAGAAATAATTGAATCCCATCTATCTTTCCAAAAGTTAGTTCAACAAAAAATAAGTTGCAAGGTTTCTTTCGACAAAGAAAAAAGTTACACAAAAGGGAAATCTTTGGCGGTTTGAGCCTTGAGGAGGCAGGCGGCTTTCCTTAAAATGAGGGGTTTCATCCATCACACAAAGGCCTTTCCTCATACTTTTTAATATAACCGAATTTCAATAGCTTGATTTAAGGACAAGAAAAACAAAAAAAAGAAAGGTGAATCAATAGGTCGGACATTTTCGAGACTGCATTTCAAAAGCCCAAAGCCCGACTATTACCTTGTGAAAGAGGATGGCGTGTCAATATCCCACTCGTTCCACCCCAAATGAATTAGTGTTTGAACAACCTTGGAAATGTTCTTTGAGCTGCACAGAACTTTAATATATTCCTATGTGCAGGTCAAACAACTTTTTATTATGAGTATTTCAGAAGAAATACTGCAGCACCGCTACATGCCGGAGAAAATGGATTTTATTGTTCATGCAAAATTTAAAAAAAAAAACTTTTTTTAAACGGACCGTTGCAGAAATGAAAAGAAAAGGGTTCCATGTTCTCAAATGAGAGAATCTGCTTTTGTGAGTCTTGCGTTAAAATAATGTGAATTGGTTTCGGGTTTGGACCGCTGGTCGGACAAAACAGAATATTTTATTGCTGTAATCTTTTTTCTTTGATATTATCAAAACTATAAAATGAACTACGCTTAGCAAGTGTGACTACAGCGTACAGAAGGATGAGGCTCACTTCTCATTGGTTAGGCTAAAACTAAAATGACCACAAAAGACCACATTTGAAGACGTCGGTCCGGGGCTCTGAGAAGTTTGAAATTTGACCAAAGGAAAATTTGAAAGGGAGAAAACAGTCGTGCCATGGTTTTTTTCATATAAATATATCAATGAATTTGTGTGTTTGTGCGCTGGCAGAAGCACACAGAAAGCAAACGTGTTTGAGTGTATTCTTTACTGTTTGTGTGCAGCGCTTTCTGACTCTCCTCAAAAGCCTCAATGCAAAAACTCATATAAAATATATATATAGCACCGATTTGGGAGGATGCTTCAATGACTCATTTAATGACTGATGGTTTGTGTGTCCCTCTCTCTCTCTCTCTCTCACCCACATTCGCTCATCTGACGATCAATTTGATCTGTACGCGAGCTGCTCAGCTCTAATAAGCCCTCCTCCTGATCTCCTGCTGACGCTGGCAGGTGAACGTGAGACGGTAATGAAATGTTATTCATATTCGATGAGCCAGCTGTGCGGTAGCTAGTAGCGTTGATGGGATTGGCTGCGCGGGCCACATGACGTCTTGAGCCACGATCGACCATCGAATGAGGAACTGTTGAGGTGACGAGTCTGAAAGTCTTTTGAAGTATTTAATGAAAAAAAATGTTACACAATAGTCAGCTGACCTTTGAATGCCGAGGCTATTTCCAACAGCGTGAATCAAATCACGGGATCAAATGCCGACATTGCACCCAGGCTCAATTTCGTGCCGAGTATCTGGTTTATGTATTATTATTTTTTTACTAACCTGGCTGAGACTTGCCGCTTCCCCCCGGGGCCAGTAGGCAGAAGCACGGTTAACTGGTCTCGGGTGAACTGATCAACCGCTCTAAAAGCAGGAGAGGAGGAGGTGCGCCACAATGCAGACAGGTGGAAGGATGGAGCATGAAGAGTGGAGCGAAGCGGCAAACGGAAAGGGATGTTTCGGAGGAGAAGACAGGAGGCCATAAAAGACAGAGGGGAAGGTAAAAAACAAACAAACAAAGCAGGGCGGCAAAGAGGGAAACAAGCAACACAAAACAACAACAACAACTACAGGGTTGATAACTACGTCATTCCAAACAACATGCAGAGAACCACAGCGACTGAGGATGTGAAATGAATTGGCAGTTCTGATCATGGGTGGTGGTGGTGGTGGGATACTGATGATTGATCGTGGGTGGGTGGGTGGGGGGGCGGATCCATTGGGCCATTGGCCGACCCAGGCCAGCCAATCGATTGGCCCGGAGGAGGAGAAGCCTGCAGGCCAGACAGTCGATACCTCGGCCTGGGCTTTGTGCTGCCTTAATGGACTGTGGGGAGACGGGTTGCAGCCGCCTCGCTGAGCATTCGTTCATTACTCCGTTTTAAACAGGTTTAAAGATTCAAAATCTCAGCAACTGACTCAATGTGCGTGCGCGCGCATGCATGCACGCACAATTTAGACATCGCAGTCAATAACGTTGCAGAAGCAGCGGAAGAGCATGTGGTTCATAGTAGGTGTAGGAAAGATAAGCGCACCTACCATTGTATGTAAATGTACGCACACACACACACACACACACACACACACACACACACACACACACACACACACACACACACACACACACACACACACACACACGGTTTTATCATAAAACAGACTGGAATTGGAACTCAATGCCGTGAGATTTAGTGCCACACAGACTCCTAAGAAATGCCCCCTCTCCATTCAACAGCTCACACTTAAGTATTCATTAACTTATCCCTTAATAGCGGCAAGGTGGGGAGCTGGATGGCAGGTAGGCCAAGCGTTAAATCATCTCTCTTCAATTGTGAATAAATTGTTTTAGCGAGTGCGACAGAGCTAAGTCGAGCACCTAAAAGCAAATGGGGAGCACATGGGTTCCTTCTTCCCCGCTCCCCCTTTCTGTGTTAGAGCAGAGAGCCGTAAGCAGCACATTCCAGTAAATCACAACTAATTTCAGCCCTGCTTGACGTGCACACTAAAGTAAAAACACATGCACCACCTCCCCTTTCTTTCCCTCCCCGCCGCAGCCTGCCCACACTTTTCCTTTCCTCCGTCTCACAGTCGCACTCTTTCCTCAGCTCTGTTTAAATGATCGATATTTATCTCCATAATTCATCATCAAATCCATTTTTTTCCTCCTTTTTTTTCTCAGCTGTGCTGACAATACGCCATTAAATATAAAGAATATAAGAATACAACACTATCGGTTCGGTATCTTCTTGCATTAATATTCATTGACTCGGGCCGTTTGTTGTGTTCTGTTTGGGAACCCGGAGGCTGTGCAGACACAAGAGGATAAGCATGTTTGATAGACGTGCAGTTAATGTATTTGGTGAGCAAACATGTGGAGCTCCATAAAAATGATTTGCAAATTCCCAAACTACCCACCTAACTTAACTAACCTTTCCTTAAACCTTTCCTTAAGCCCAGATTGTTAAGAGGTGAACTCTGGTAAGCGCTGCAGGATACATCCACAAAGAACATAGAAAGCCACTATTTCCAAACTAAATTCATGAAGATCAGATTGGAATAATTGTCTGTGTTCTTCTCATATTGTGTAGATCATATTGCAATGATCCCTTTCTAATTGATCAACATGTACTGCATGCAACACTCTCTTGTTTAAGGGGGCATGAGGTTAAAAGGCTTTTTGTTACTGCACGTTACCCCAAAATATAACCACATGACAGACGAATACTAATCTGCATTCACGATATTTACATCAAAACCCACTACATCATTCGGAGTCATTGAGCAAAAAGTAATACATATTTTTAGTCCCAACGAGATTGTATTTCTCATTTCTTGTGGTTGAAGATTCAGATTAAGTAAATTATCCCACTTTGTGTTAAGAATTTGCCATTTGCAACTTTAAAAATCCGCCTTCAAGAATTCACAGCTTTAAGTCTTTCTATTTGGTCTGAGCGCACTCGCCAGTCTCTTCTTGCGTTTTTAGTTTGTTTCACATTTTAATATATTTCAAATAGAAAAATAGAAAAAGGGTTAGGCTGGTGTGCGTGTGTGGGGGGGAGTTACAATGTGCATCTGCTCCTATGCAATTCATCATCCCTGAAGCAACAGAACACACACGTATAGTATACAACAAATACACACACGTGTGCAAAATCTCCCCTCAAATAGGAACCATGAAGCACCGACAAAGTCCAATTGGAAGCGTACATGAAAACAGGATGGCCAATTTTCCAGCTTACAAAACAAATAGAAGGAAGCCGAAGCAAACTGCTTTTCGGTCCAAGTTTATATTTTTGTTCCCTTATTGTTGCCAGGCCTGTGCTGCGTCCATCACACATAAACACAATAGCGCTTGACCCAACCAATAACTCTCTATGCTTAAAAACAAGGATGAAAGTTCTTTTGTCCATTTAATAGAGCTGAAATTTCCTCTTTTTTTCTTTTTAAACCACAAATACAACCCAAATATTTTCCCTTTGCTGGTCTCTTAGCAACTGAAGAACGGTTTTCCAGTGACATCAGGGCAGGGAGCGAGAGAACGAGATGTTTTTCTTTTTTTTCTCCTCTCAGTGAAGTCGGACTCGGGTGAAATTAGATTGCAGAGTGTGCACAGTCAAAGCCGATGCCCCGGTACAAGCATTTAGTGTCGGATTTAACAGTTTGAGGAGAGGAGGACGATGTTGACGAGGCTAAATGTCACCATGCATGACGAGTAAACGCATTGCCATGAAAAGAAACGCGAGCGCGGGGAATCGGTGACTGAATAACGGTCTTCATTCCCGGAAACCTTGAATGTCTCCTGTGTGTTTTAAAAAAATATTTATTCCTCTTCTTTTTCCTGTCTGCAGCGAAGTGTGGAGCCTACATTCCTGTCTTGACATTGATTTGCCGGGGGAGAGGATAGGACTGGCTGTGCACTGACATCTGACATCAACAGCAAAAGCATTCCCTCTCACTGAGGTAGGGGTGTGTGCGTATGTGTGTGTGTGTGTGTGTGTGTGCGTCATTACCGTCGGTCATTTCTCCTGCGTCGGAAGAGCTTTTTGGTGTGTGCGATCTCTGCCTCATTAGGAAGGGGTGAGAAGACCTGTCGGGTACAAATCACAGGAGAGACAGAGAAGGATCACTTTGTGGAAAGTATCCACACGGCACATGAAACAGTTGCTAAAGTGCTTTTCAAACAAGTACAGAACCTCATAGCCTCGTTCTATGATTTGTCTTTAATACCACACGTAAAGAGATTAAGAGAAGTGGCTCGTCAAATCCGTGGCGTTGATTGGGGTTAATACGAATAACGATCCACATTTCTGAATTATTTCTTTATTATTTCAATTGATTATTTGTTTACAAATGTCAGACAATTAAAACGTAAATTTCCCTGAGGTGACATTTTAAATGTTGATGGTGCTGGGATTTGTTTCTGTCAACAACTTATCAATATTCAAAATAGGGATCGACTGATTAATCGTTTCAGTTTTAATAGAGAGCTGAGGTGCGTGTGGGTGTGTGTGTGTATAATATAATAGATCTCTACTGGAAAAACCTTTGGAGTACATTGCGTGGTAGGATGAAGCGCTGTTCTCTTTTCAAGACTTCAAGGTATCAATGGTATTTATTTCTCTCTGGATTCAAACATTCCTCAGAATATGAAAAACTCTCGAGCACAACCTTGAACAAGGTTCTGCTTCTTGTCAACTAACCAAACGGTCGCCAGGCACAGAAACAATATTATTCATAATAATAATAATTATAAGATAATGAGTTATTCATCCAAATTAACATCATTTTTATTTTATTATATACATTCCTTTGCCGTCTGACGGTGGTATATGATCTCATTGAATGTATTCTTTACTTCCAAAGTGTAATTTCCGTGAAAAGGAAATCAATTAAACACCAGCCCTGTCAATCAAACAGCAGGCTGGCCCTTAGCTCAGCATCACTTTGTTCAGCGGTTACCATGGCTACAGGTGACCGAGGACCAGCGCTGTCCTGTCGACACACCGTGTGCAATGGTAGCCGTTGCATAAATGTGCGTGACTATGTATATGTTTGTTTGTGTGTGTGTTGTCTAACTGCTGTGCATACACAAGACACCATGTTACGAGCAGATAGCGCACACTGTGTGTATGAACGGTGGATGCTAGCGTGTGTGCCAGTTCGCGTCAATGTCAATCAGAGATGCGGGAAGCGTGTTTTTGTGTGTGTGTGTGAGCTGTGCAACAAACAGTTGCAGCAAAAAGCCCCAAATTTCCCCACACTCTCAACTGAAGGCCGTGTGTAAGACGGTGTGTACAAAGTGTGTGCGGAGGGAGGAGAGACTCATGCGCTGTTGGTACAATCCACTTCTTCCTTTCTGGTCTTCAAGATAAACAGTGTACCAAAAGTATCATGTGGTTTTAGACGTGATGAAGTCAACAGATCAAATTACTCGTGCACTATTAAGTGGATACATTCTGTGGGATTAATCAAAACCAAAGAGTTCAATATCAGTAAATCATTTATTACCGTACAATGATAGAAAAGTCTAATCCTCTTTTCAGTGGCTCTCAAAGTACTTGCATTATTCAAATCTTTTTTCTTTTACTTAAGTCTTTACTAATGAACTAATGTATGTGTGTGTGTGGACAAACCGCGTCACCTGTGAAGCAAACCGGTCTCAGGTTTCCTCTTTTGCACAAACACATACTGCACATATTCTAATGAGGCTGCTAGATGTTTCAAACCGCGGCTCTAACCTACTTCTCTCCTACACAGACTGCTGAGGGATTGTTGGGTTCTGATTGAATCCAGATGGCAGAGGCTGCAAGTTTGGTGGGGCAAGGGGAGGAGGTGGGGGGGGGGGGGGGAGTCTATGCATGTGGTGCAGTAACATGCAGCAAAAGGCAAACAAACACACACTTAAACTGTCTGCTAGTACAAAGCTTTCCTCTACGCATTAACCCAAAAAGTATTAATATCGGTGAAATCTGCTTCTTTTTTTTTTCCCCCCCAGACTCAGACGACTCACCGCTGGAGCCGCCTGACGGGGAGGAGAGAGAAAAAAGAAATAAACGGGGGAACTGTTGCATGTTTAGCTACTGTAGTTTTCCTCTAGGATATCATTAGCTGTAATTCTGCCCTTCAAATGGTAACCAGATGACAGAGCGCGCACGCACACGCACATACACGCACAGACTCATTTTTTCCAAATTTTGCGCTAAATGAAAAACGTCTCTTTTGAAGTGTCTACTACCCAAAAAAGAAGAGCATCGTTGCGTTAAGAGAAACGCTTTCAGAGCCACAGCTGTGCGTGCGACGCATCAGACGGGTTGGGAGGAGGCGGACGCGAGAGACGTGGAGTTGTCTCTCTGGTTGAAAGGGAGCGCGCCGTGTGTGTGTCTGCGTGTGTGTGTGTGTGTGTGTGCGTGTGTGTGAATGCGCTATCTGCAGGTAGCAGCCAGCGTGCAGCAGATCAAAGGGACGCGTGGGCGGTCCTGGTCCCCAGCCAGGAGACCCCTCACCTCATGGCAAGCCCTGTGGACGTGACGGGGATGGCGAGGAGGAGGAGGAGGAAGGGGGGGGGGGGTGCTGGCTGGCTGCGTAAAGCAGGAAAGGGAGAAGAGATAAAAACGGACAGAAATTTTGTCCGTGGTTTTATCTACATTGCCTATTAGTAAGTAAAAACTATTAAGACGAAATTGATCAAGTGGTAGAGATGGTTTCAGAAGAGAGCGATGCGCCACTACGATCGATCTTCAGCGGCGGTCAAACGGAAAACATCACTGGCGTGAATGTGTCGCTAAAGCTACACAGAACGTCACATTTTACCCACCAGATCTGTCGGATGTGCTTCAACGAAAGCTGGAAAGTTGCCACAGCCACACTCAATTTATTCTCCACCTCAAGAATCACAAGGGAAGCACTGGAATGCCCCCCCACTGCTACAAAGACACATAGTGTTATTGTGATTAACGAGTGGATGAAAAGTGGGGGGGGGGTGGACGTGTTTTGACTGGAGAAAAGACAGTTTTGACAACGTGATTCATGTAAAGTTTAACGGAACGCGCAGAATGAAAATGACTGGAGCCGTCAACGCAGAGGAAGTGTGCCAGCGGAGGGAAACGGGACCAACAACCACGACTTCACATTCATGTCACTTGATTACGTTCATTATATCCAGTTAGCGATGACATTGTGGGCGAGGGATTGGCACATTAATTCGTTTTCTTCGTTGGTTATTTTCGTCTCTGAGGCACGGCTGAAAAGTGAAGCGTTTTTATACCGAAGCCAAGAGTCGTTTCAGTTGTGGCGATTAAACAACCCGTCGACGAGATCATCTCGACGGAGTAAGTAACGGCACCACGTGTTCCACAATAGCCCGTTTGCGCCCCATCTATCGTAACGCCGTTTTACAAACAGGTGGAACATGAAGCGCCAACAGCAACCGAAGGAAAAAAACTGAAACGTGGTTAACTGTCAAGTCTAAACTTTACGGGCCTGATTGGCGGCAGGGCGGGGGAGGGGGGAAGCTGTTGTTTTGTGTATTCATTGTGTTGTCAGAGGAAGTTGACAGACCACGCGGCGATCCAGAGGAAAATCCCAGCTGAGAAAAAAAAAAAGGGATGTGTCCTTTTGACAAGCGCTCCACTTCGCCACGTAGCAGACATCTCATTTGGAAGTGATGCATATTTCGGCCATTGTATTTTATCACCCCCCCCCCCACACATTTTTTCCGAGCTCTTTCATTGACCCGGGTCAGATACCGTCGTCGATCCATCCACAACAATGACGGCGCCGAAGCGTGAAAATGGATAGAAGGGACAAGGAAGCAGAAGAAGGAAATGACTGAAGCCCACAGGGATGAAAATGAGGAGAACAGAAACGGAGACCGATGATTATAGAACTTTCTCTGCGATTGCATAGAAAGTGAACAGCTCCGTCCTGATGCTCATTCAGCCCGGCCATTGTTCATCACTGCGCTTATTTATGCTGCGAGGGCCCTCGGCCAAAAGCAATAAATTAAAAACTGCCCCGGAGGGTGGCGTGGCACGACACGCCGATGTGAGCAGAGGGGGAGAGAGTGAGAGTGAGAGAGAGGGAGAGAGAGAGAGGATGAAAACAAGAGGAGACTGTAAATACAAGAGAGGCCAGCCCAGATGATATTAACATTGATGGGTACAGTTAATAGAAACAGGCAAAATCGCTGTGCTACAAAATATTCATGCTCCAATTTTGACTTTAGATTTTTTTTCAGTTTACCCACAATGCAGCACAAAGGGACCGGCTCTGATTTGGGCAACTCCATGTATCACAAAGGCGACAATCAGTCTGTCAGTAAACTGTTGGAATTGTTTCCCTGTAAAAAATAAATAAATAAATCCTTGTAGTCGAAAATGTGCGCCACGTTTCCTGGTCCGGCCCCCCCCCCTCCAGGCCTTTCATGAGAGTCCCTCTGCAGTCACCCCCCAACCACGCCAGAGGAGATTGGAAGCTGCCACGCAGTCGGCCGATCGGTGATAAGAGGACGAGATGCGAGGTCCTGACACCCGCGTCTCGTTTAATAAGTGATTTAATGCCGGGCCCACAGCCGAGCACAGACAGGTAGACGGGCACATCAAAGAATTCGGGTGTTGGAGGGGGGGGGGGGGTGGGGGGGTAGCTGCAGGAGGAGATGGAGCCATTGTGGGATCAAAGTGTCAGAGAGGAGAAATAACCGGTGTCTCCCACAGAAGATTTATAATGGGCGAACCCCCGCTGTGAGACAGGGTTCTAAATGTCTCATCCGCCCCACAAATAATCATTGCTTGGAACGAGCCTGATAATAGACCAGAAAGAAATAGGTGAGCACCGTGCAGAGTGTATATAAACGTACCTGCTTGTGCTCTAGAGAATGCAACCCCCCCACCCCAACTTCCAGGGTGAATTACCGGTATGTGCCACTTCCGTGCACTGTGGGGATTTCTTGATGATTTTATGAGTCATTAATCATAAAAAACCTGCATCTCCAAGAAGGGGATTTTCTGCCATTTCAACCCTGGTTTATATCCTCGAACGATACAGCTTAATTCATTTGGAGTCTCCCTTCAGATTTATTTGATCTTGTGGCATCAATTTTTTACGTCGAGGGAGGATGGGATCTTGTTTCTTACAGGCACACACACACACATATATATATATATATAAAAAACTAGAAAGATCAGTGTTGTATCAGACGTTTTCAGTCATTCTACATCTCCAACACCATGTTTTCTTTTTACATGTATGTGGATTTATAAAATGAAGACAAAAAATGGACAGAATGAAACCATTGCCTGTAAACTGTGAGGATCATTACTAGGACACACTTCAATAAATGAAAGTTAATAGTCCGCTTATTTTTGACACACTGGTTTTAAAACACTGTTGTACTGTTATGTCATTTTTTTGTTTTACTGCTATTTGATCCTTTTGTGTATCTTTGTTGTAAGTCATTTGTAACCGACTTTAAAATAGAATCCACGTGAGACTTGCCGTAAATCTACAGCTTAATGCTCCGCGTCTGACCCCTGAACACTTCCGTCATTACTGCCCGATGCTGGACGTGCAGGTCGACATTCCAGAGAGGCCAGTGGAGGTGAAGCAGAATGTGAGGGGAAAAGGAGGAAGCGCACGCACACACACACACACACACACACACACACACACACACACAATTCCCTCATCCCAGGGCTATTTGTGTGAATATTCCGGCTCCTGGAAAGGGGAAGTGAACATTTGCAGGAAGTTTCGGACGCGTAGGCGGAGTCTTTTGGATGACGCCGCTTTGCAATACACCAACTGGAGGTGGAGACTGCAAGAGGTACTCTGATGCAATAGAGCAGTGTAGAATGGTCCATTACTAAGTACTTCATATACAATGATATATATATATATAGAAAATCATATACTACATTATTTAAATGTTTGTACTAGCTATTTTTAACTTATTTATAGTGACGTAAAGATAAACCTGTGGGTTTTGAGAGGATTATTGTGGGAGAAAAGTAGTAATATAAAAGATGAAACTGATGAAACAGTTTTTCATTTACTTATGTAAACTCTTGAAAAGTAAAATATCTCTCAAATTCTTACAGAATTAAGAAGTACAGAACAGTAGTGAATGTACTTTTTTTAGATAACGAGTGAAAACATGATAGCCAGTCACGTATTTAAATAGCACCAATAAAAGTCCCCTGCCACATTGTGTCGTTGGTTTACGGTAAGGAGGACGGCGCTGTGCTGAAAGTGGAAGCAGGAATCCTGACTGAACATCGTCAGCCTGCACGTCGAATCGAAGCTGCACACCGTCATGCAAACTTTCCACAAAGCACGTCACACACAGCAGAAATCCTGCAGCCTGATGGGAGTCATGCACCAAAACACCAATCCAATACAAATGTCTTCCCACAACGCCGGGCCACAGCGCACGCATGGTCAAAATGTTTCAGCAGTTCGATACTGATGCAGGTAAACAACTTGGATAGTCAACACTCTTGTATAGAGAGTCGCTCCAATGCAGTTCAAGAGGGGTTTGAATGTGGTTTTGGTTATTTATGTCTGTGGTTTTCTGCTACTGACTCAGGAAGCGGGAAATGAAAACTTGAGGCCCTCGCGTGTCTCGGGACATCCCGACCACGGGGGGGGGGGGATGGGGGCCGGTTATGGCTAGCGGTGGGCCTCACAAGAACGAGAGAAAAAAACACAGCGACGCGACTTGAGAGGCCGGGTCTCACGGCCGGCAAAGACAAAGAGCGCTGAGGACGGCCGAAGCCGGGAGCCGCTAACGTCCCGGTGCCCACACCTATCCGACCCCCGGGCTCGTCAGACAAACCCGGCTGACCCCCCTCTCTTGGCTGGAACTCAAGAAACGGAAAAGGCAGTCTTGGCTCGGGAGCGATACAATGGGGGAGCCGCCTCGGAACGCGCAACTCGGCCACACAGGGCTGAGAAAGTGCGAGAGGCCGAACGCGGTTTGGCCACGGGGGGCCGAGAGGGGAAGGAAAGAGGAAGGCTCCAGTTCAAACACCGTGAACGATGGAAGGCCTTTTGGCTCAGAGAGCAGGGAAGGAAGAGAGGCGGATGACACTACTGACCGAGGGGGAATTATGTCACTGTGCTGAAACACACGTCGCCTTGAAGCTCGGCCAGGACACTGTACCGGGAAACAAAATGAGGGGATTTCTTCTTCTGGTATACAGAAGAAACAGCATTCATCTTTAAATTGAGCTCAAAGGCAATTGGAGTATCAAACTGAGAAAGCCTTAGAAAGGAAACGACGTACATAACTTAACTGCAGACAGAAAATACTCGAGGCGTAAATGTCCTTCATATATTCAACCAGCAGGGGGCGGTAGAACACTGTGAAGCACTTTTCAGGTCAGTTATGACTCATTTCAGCATCTGGCCAGCAGATGTCCCCAAATGTTCATTCATAAATCAACCAGTCTCCTTTAAAACGTCACTATAAATCTATACAAACTGATTGTATATGTATTGTTGATATTAAACAAACAAATTTAAAACTGACACTATGTGAATTTTCCGTTTTTGCCACCTGTAAATTCATGTATTATTATTATTTCTGGCCAGCAGAGGGCGCTCTCTACCAATTAATTAATGGTCAGGTTGTTAGGAGGTGATTTCGCTCTGCTAGTAATTGTGTCATATCATTGCAGAACAACTGCTCTACAAAACCACATAAGGTTGCTTTTACAGATAATCAGACAGAGGAAACTAGATGGAGGCATTTTCTGTAAAAAATAAAAGAGAAAACCAGTCACTCACGGTTCGCAGATGGGGCAGAAACCTCTCTATGTCGTTCATGTCTATGCCGTCATCTTCCTCAAACTGGTTTTTGTTCATCCTGAAAGAGAGGAAGTAACCATCAGGGATGACCGGTGAAGCTAGATGTGCTTCATCAGAGACAACACATAATATGAGACGATTAAAACAATTCAAAGAGAAGCAAAACGCACCCTTCTCTGTCGATGTGGGGCAGGTGCTTTGGTATTCCTCGGAGGTGTTTTCTGTGGAAGTGGCTGAAGTCCAGCTTCTCTGGCTGTATGTCCCAACCAGCACCTCTGCAACCAAGAGACAAAGAGACGGAAGGTTAAAAAAAAGGGGTAAAAGACAGCTTCTACGTTTTGATCACAAGAGAGGAATCAAAGTACGCTCAGGTGACAAATCTTTTTGCCCTTCAAAGTACAAATAATCATTAATCACATTTAAAGCAAGCATTCTTGGTCAATTGTTCGGTATTTAATGAACAGCGTTTTGATAAGATTTGATTGACAAGTTGCTCAGCAACAAAAGCAACTGTGGGATCACACTTTAGTGAATCCTTATTGGTGCATGGCAGCACGTGACTGGTCCAGATTATTATTTGTAAGACGGACTCTCACAGAAACAGAAATATTGAAAATAATTCGTGCATTGATCACAACTGATTTCTGTGTGTGTGTGTGTGTGTGTGTGTGTGTGTGCATGGTACCCTCGTCATGTCTGTTTTTTTCCCCCCATTATTCTTACTACGCAACACAGTATCTCTGTCTGCAAGGAGGACGAACTGCTTACATCATCCTCTGCTCCTTCATAGTGCGCTTCGATGTGCCAACGTGGCCGGTTCTCAGGTAGGTGAAGCTGCCGTGCAGCTGTTACCATGGCAACCAATCTTCCCTCCAGTGAATTTGATTACTGTTCCATTCATTCGTTTCCTTTTTTCCCCTCCTACTGTAAGTTACAGGTCCAGCTTTTGTTAGAAAAATCCTTTAAGAGTTACACAAAAGCCAAGAAGGACTTTCGCACGCATCTCACTGGTCTAAATCAAAACAAGACTTACAAACACTAAACCCCAAAAAACGTCTCCTCATCACTCATCATGTGATGTAGCTGAGTAGCCTATTTTAGGATGAGGCAAAAACGCTTTTTAAATATGATGCCCCGTTATTGCATTTCATGTGAATATATATTATTTCATACACATAATAAACGGCATCAGGGTCTTTGGAGGACCGGGCACTCACCCGCATGAGTCCATTGTGTTGGCGGCCCATATGTCTGTCCCCAGGATGTCCAAGGAGCCGTCTCTGTTCCCGTTCTAGATGACGCACAAAGAAGACACCTTCAGTATGACTTAACAAATAGAAAATTACACCACTTGAATTGTTCTACTTAAATATCCTATTCTCTTCAAATAGGAAATGAATATGATTAAAAGAAGAACATACTATTTTATGTCTTTAATGCTGTACGTTTTAGTAGTTTTAGTTCACAGTTTGGGCCGTGCTGCCATCCAACCCTTCTTTAGACCCTTGTTTGTAATACTGTTTTTTTTGTCAATTAGAGGTCAAACTGCTAAGTGAACTGATCTTCAAGTGCAAAAACAATGCAAGGCCCCCTAAACAGTAATGTACGGTTACAGATTGGATTTTTGGAGGAAATCTTTGGATGCTGGAGACTCGACATGGAACAATACAAAGTATCCGTACCTCAAAGCCTCCCCAAGACTTTCATTTCTTTTAGATTAGTTTTTAGCATCCCCGAGAGAAAGTGCCAAATGAAACAACACTCAAGAACACACACACACACAGACACACACACACACACACACCATGGTGGGGCCTGTGAACTGGTTGTTTCTGCCCCTGCTGCCGGAGCGGGAGCCGGACCCGGGTCTGGAGCCCGAGCTGGGCCTGGAGCCGGTGCTGCCGTTGCTGCTGTGCTCCCACTCGTCCTGTGGAGAGAAAAAGGCAAGGAAAAGGAATGCCGCACAAAGTCCACTGAACTCCAGTTTCAATTCAACGTTTTGGACAGTATATTTTTCAGAAGCTGAATTTTTAAACAAAACTAAAAGTCCCCATTTTGCCGGCGTTATTTACTTACTGGCTCCAGCTCACAGTGTCCCATGTTAGTCATTAAGAGCACACTTTGTCTTCAGCGTTCTTTCTAATCACACACTGGAGCAGTTGGCAGAGAGGGAAAGACGACACCAACAGACAGCTGACAGGGCAAAGCAACGCTTCAATCCAGCGACGAGGGGCTCCGGATGTTTATGAATGTTGGGTTCATGGTAAAACCAGCAGTACCGGCAGCGGTGTTGATACGTTTTGTTGAATGGGTATCAACTGGCAGTTCTTGAGAAATTGTAATGTTTTTAGTTATAAATAACCAAAAACAATAATAATCTATAAAGTTATAGAATAAATCCATCTTTAGGTGATGAACAAGACAAACGTTACCCTAGCGGTAGATTTGAGCTCTTGGTCATTTATAACAGTTGCCGATTTAACGCAGCTACATTCCTGTGACATGATGTCACATTTGTTTAAAGAGAGCCTTCAGGAAGGGATGAAGTTACAGAAGGAAGTGCTGGCGGGTGCAACAGTAGTAATTCAAAAGAAACAGAGGCGTAAAATAGGAAGGAAACCATAGAAACTGATATAAGCTGCAGTGTGGGTTTCCTGAGGGGAATAAACCCTGTTAAATCAAGTTTCTTTTAAACAAGAATCTTCAACTGAATTTATTCACCGACAAACAAACGGCAAACAGGAATTTGCTTCCTAATGTGCTGCAACTCTAAACCAATTCAATCCATGATAGTCCTTTTTGTTAATTTTCCAGCATTGCCCACACACTGATCTATGATGAAGACCTCAAAGAATGTATTTGATTCAAGATGATTTCATCTCAATCTTTGAAAATGACAAGAAGCCTGAAACACAAACTTACCAGCTTGGTCGAGCCTCTTCCCCTTGAAGACGCCCAGCTGCCATCTTTCTTGTAGTTACAGTCATCTGTCCACTGGTGGAGATAAATAGGTGGAGAAGGTGCCGTCATTTGCTGGAAGGAGGTGGGAGAGGGAGGGGGAGGGGAGGGGTTACATGCAAACAAAAACAATAAACAAACTGAAACCACAGACTGTCAGTTCCCCCTGACACTTTGTCTCCTCCGCCCGCGGCGTTTGATGGGAGGAACCGAGGCATTCGTCCACATTGACGACCCGCGTAAAAAAAAAAAATTGCGTGTCATCCATTGCTGTGATAAAGCGCTCACCTCCGGCACCTTGATGTCGCTGTCAGCGTCCAAGTCTCCGTCGGCCTTGTCTCCCAGAAGCCCCTGCACCTGGTACTCCAGCACGTAGCTGTCGATGAAGCGCTCCAGCTCTTCGATCTCCTGCGAGCGCGTGCTCCCGGCCTCGGACGACGCAGACGCCACCGAAGAGTTCTCCATGGCAACCACGGCTGTGACCGGCGGTGAGGGGGGAGGGAGGGGAGGAGGAAAGTGACCTGCGCGGGGAGGAAGAGGGAGACACAGAGCAGAAGTTAAGAGCACTCGGGCGCCGGGGTGGGAACGCCGGCCCGTGTTAAGAGAGAAAGCATCCTTCAACGCAAAGCTTGTGAAATGTTATACCGTCGTTTCACAGCCAGAGGTGGAAGAGTCATGTGCTGCAGCCCTTGGTACCAGCAGCATCACCTTGGTTCCCTTCCCAGGTCGATCCCACCAAATCCATCGATACACTCACCCTACATTAATACTAACCTTACCTCTCGCCCCCTCTGGTGACACCGTTCACACACCTTCCCGTGTCCATTTCCCCATTTGTTTTTCCACTTGTTCCCTGCACGCGGGCCTCTCTCTCTCTCTGTTCTCTGTCTCTCTCTCTCTCTCTCTCTCGCTGTCTCTCTCCCGTCTTTGTTTTGTGTGCGATCACCTGACCTGTGGCCAACAGGAGAGCGGCTTCCTGCCTGGCTGTCTGTCTGTTGCTGCTAAGCTCCTTTACATCACGGCTTGATCAGCCACTATGCAAAGAGGATTCATTGCCCCGGGACACGCAGAATGCCATCGGCTGAGTCCTGGCGACTCGCCGGGGAGCCGTGTGCATTTAGAGGCGACGAGTCAGCCGCAAAGTTACGGCAGACTAGAGGATCGTATCAACAACACAACAAAGTCTAATAGATCACCACAGACGTGTTGCCAAGGGGCTTCTCCTACATCTATTGCTTTAACCTCTGCATACTTTGTACCAGGGTCAACGTGTCCTAATCTTATTTGCTGCAGTGTAATCCATACATGTCCACAGTGTACTCCATACATACATGCGTACGTAGGAGGTGCAGGCATTTGAATAGCCAGAGGCATCGGCGCCAAGAGTCGGACGCGCTGCCTTAATATCCGTTCACTTCAGGAAACGATGTGCGACCCATACGTGTGATACGTGTGTATAAAACCTCATGAGTCACCGTATGTGCACGTACATGCACATGTAAAGGCACATATAGAACTTCATCGTTATTGTCAGTAGTAACTCATTACATTACAAAAAAAACTGCAAGATCCACAAATCCAAACTAGGTTTCAATGTGCATGCTGAAGCTTATTGTGTCCTGCGGTTCCCTCGAGGTCGTCTGCTATCGGACCGGACCGTTTACGTCGCGACACCAACATCTGCCCCAGTTCCGCTCTCACAGCAGACATTCAGGTCACACCACACTCTAGTCTGTCTCCTGTCAGACTCAACCACCCCGTCCGTGCCACTCACCCTGGTGACCCGACGGTACGGCAACATCCGAGGTTGTGGGTTAGTGGCTGAGCTATATGGGGTTCGGTCCGGATGTTGCAACGACCCGTTGGATGCACATTGGTGGCGGTTGCAGCTCTTGTCCTCGACATGTGGTTTAGAATTACTGCCTGGGGGGAAGCTTCTGCCAATAGCTGTATTGACCCGTGTGTTAAAACAACACTTCTCAGCCCTTTTGTCTCAGCCGTGGTTGTTTCTTATCTTTTTTCTTTTTTTTTGCTTCTGCAATATATTTATGTATGTGCTCACTGTGCAGGAGGGCCGACACATCACGAGCCCTGCACACACATTGTAGTCACCCCCGAATAGCATCGTCATCAACAACCAGAGTAAACACTGGCTGTGTGTCTTTATCAAAAGACCTGAAACAAAGTCCTTTCTATGCTGCCGTGTTTCGTAACGAACCGCTCCGAGGTGGTGGTGACATCTGCTTTAATTTCACAGTGTATTCGGTCTTTCAGTCGGTGATCTTCAGGTGTGGGGGGGTGGGGGGGGGACAAATTTGCCTTTGTTGTGTGATTATCAAGTTTATAAGTGCCGCAGAGACGGTCATGTGAGCGTCCACAAAGCTCTTGCTGTCGTGTGCGTGAGGGACGGGGGGACGGAGGTCTGACAGAGAAGAGAACTTCACTGTGGCCGGTAGCACTGGTCTGTCTGTGTTAAACTGGACCATTTTGCCCCCCTACATTCTCACCGTTGTGTGTCTGTCCCACTCTCCTCCCCCTTCAAACGACGTCCTTCAGTCCCCTGCTCTTTCCTGTCTCCACCCTTTCACTGCCCCTCCCTGAATCCTACCAGCTGCTCCAACAACACTCCGCCTGCCACACGTTCAGCTTCACTGTCGTGCTCGAGCTGAGGAGAAAAATGGTGCATCAGCAAGCAAGCGATGCTCAAAAATCATTTAAATCTTCCAAATAGTACAAAAGCAGGGCAGTGTGCTCCGAAAATAGTAAATTCCACACAATATAATTCGACATCAATGTAACAGAAGCAGTCACTATCACTGCACATTAGACTCATCACCTCCAACAAAGGCTGAATATGAACTGACTGAAGGCAGAGTTCATTGCAGGCTTGTTTCTAGACTGCATTTGTTCACGAAACTGTAGCGCCGAGTGCATTCGAACCGCTGGACTGTTCAGAGACGTGAGTCAGGAGATTCAGAGGGTTTGAAAGGCAGGCTGAGAAGAAACAAGAGAGGCCACCGGCAGACTAAAATGTGACGCAGCACGTCCCAGATCAACACGGAGACGTGGCTGCATTCATCACTGCAAAGAACTAACAATTGTGACATTTGGTTTTGTTCAGTGCTTTTCTTGGACTACGGCAATGTTTAATCATTCTTTTATTAAAAATAGGCTTCGTTCTCTCTTTTGGAGTCGCTTAGTGTATTTTGAGTGAATAAATAAGCTGAACTCAAATGCGGACAGAATCATCAACAGTTCAACACCGAGCTAAAACATTTGCCAAATTTCTTTTCATTTCCTACAAAAAACGAGTCTGTTTTGTACTAAACTGCAGCATTATGCCAAAAAACTATAATAAGTTGGACTCCAAAAGGCCGACAGCAGACATCGTAGAACAATACAACATGTACCACGACCACGTTAAACAAGCTATGGGCGGCCAGAGATTTGCAGCCTTTGATATAGTTACACAACAAACCCAACGGTAAGAACCATAATCCACAGACAAAGTCTCCCCAGTGGGAGTCCAAGTCAACATTCTCACCACATGCAGCGCGAGAGCTGCTTATTGCCCTGATCTGTGCCACTAGCGACTGGCCGACCGGCTTACCAAACCAACACTCGTTTAAATAGAATTTAGAGTAGTCTATTTAGAGAGGGTTACAGTTAATGGGAGCGACAGAATCTTTGTAGGACGGAGAAGGTGCAGCACGCGTGGGGTGCATACTGAAGGTCCGCTGTGTGAAAGGTCAGGCAGCGCTGAGACCGTTAGGAACCTTTCAAAAGGCTGTCCTTCAATTTTCAGACGGCGGATGTACAAGCGCCTTCGGCTCGGCCACGTGACAAACAAAAAGATGCAAATCTTTAACCTGGTTTTGTATGGTGTCCTTTAGTATTTGGAAAAGTATCATCGGGGACAATAGTGTCTTAGACTTGGATTGGAACACGATTTGGACAAAAAACTACTTCGAAAAAAGGAGTCTGTAGTAGTTCTCGCCCCCCCATTCACTGCTGGGGGGGAATGTGTTTACTCGTACAGTTGGAATGCCCTGAATCAAGGGGAACAAACCAGCAAGGATAGCCGAGTAGGGTCTGGGGGGGGTATGTGTACGTTCTATTAAAACAATAGCCGCATTGTCCCCCCCTTCCATTCTCCTTTAGTGACCTAATGGAAAAGCATTGGGCCCGTGAAACGGTGCCCCACATAACACAAATACACAACCGCGGCAAAGGAGTGAGGGTCCGCCAACCGGGGCCTCGCAACGTGCATGGAGGGCGGGCAGAAGTTTTGAGCCCCCTCGAAGCTGAACGGCAACAAAAGTGAAAAGAGGACGCAACAAAAGGTTCGGCCGTGGACTGAGCTGCCGCAGCCATTATCGGTTCAGGGGTTGAACAAAACGAGATGACGACAAAACGAGTGACTCCGAGAACACAAAAAAAAGGTGGGGGGTGGGGGGTCGGCCATAGAAAGCCAGTCAATAGTTCTGTAGCGATTGCTTGTTTCAAAATGCAATTTGCCGGAGAACTACAAGCGCATCCCACCGCTCGGCGGCGGGCCGTCTGCTGTGTGTTTTCCTCCCTTCTCACTCACTCCTGCATTCGTTAATTCTGTCATGCAGGCGACGTGATAAGCAGTCGGGCAACCCAGTGTCTCCGTGGCACCCAGCTATCTGCGCTCCTTCCTCCACCTTCTTCAAAGCCCTGCATGCATGCATGGACCGGCAGCAGCAGGTAGGGGTTACGTTGCTGCTGCTGCACAACCAGAGGGCATCGACATTTGTGACTGCTGCTCTGGGAGGATTCTTTCATCCACTGCTGGGCCTTCGAGGGCAGAGTTCGCAGCCTCAATCAGTCACGGCATCAATGCAGCGGTTCTACTGGGCCGGGACACCACGGGGGTGATGACACTGCACCGACTCTGCTTAGACGGGCAAAGCGAAGCTGAATCTGAAGCTGGGTGTCAAGATCAGCAGCACTTTGCAAGTCATTGCTTAGTAGTTACATTTCAAGAGTGAATTGGAACGATCCTTGGAACGTCCGGCTCTCTAGATCCTTTTGCCCGTGTTGCCAGATGAAGACATGTTTACCAAACGTTGCAGGAGGTTGACAAATGACACACACGGTCTGGGTGGAAGTCAGACGGCAGACACTAAGGCATCTCCTGTCAATGAATAGTGACACTTGCTGAACTGGACTTACAAGTAGGCCGACTTCTTTAGATTACGCTGCTTTGAATTCTCTCTCCACCCACCCCTCAGAAAAAAAGCTGTATTTTTAAGATAAATTCAGGCGGTGCTTGGTCCTGATTTTCTTGTCACTTTAAAATCCGGAGGGTCTCTCTGGTGTGACCTGTGGTAGCGTGCAAACATTCCTTTACCTCACCAGAGTCACTCTGATCCAATCAGCAACTGAACCGCAGGAATCTCCAAAATGTTATGACGTAACCGGCTAAAACCGGGGGAAAAAACAACTCCTGTCGACCACTTAATGTTAGTTTAAGTGTTTTAACTTTACCTTTGCATTCCAGCATTCTTTCAACCTGTTTCAGACCTGACCCATCCACTAATAAAAGTCAAACAACATGCAAAACAAATACAACTGCTTCTATTCGCTCCTACTTATTTACCTTTCATCAGACATGTCACATGTGGCTGTTCAGTGATCAGTGATTCTCTCTGTGCTGCCACAGACCAGCAGCAGCTGTGATCTCCTCTTTGTTGTTGGACGGGCAGCTGATCTGCAGCGTGCTCAGCTGCTGCTATCGGACTATTTGAATGGACGCTGGCATTCGTGTCCTGCGGCCACTTTCGTTACTAGACAACGAACCGTTCGCAAAACAAGGTGTCCTTTACAACCAGGACGAAGCCATCACTACCTCAGATACAGTTTTCTACGGTTCCTTTTTTATTATTATTGTCCACTCCCAAACCACGCCCATGCTGTCTGGGATGCTAGCCCGTGTGTGTGTGTGTCCGTTAGCCTCGCCGTGTCTCCAAATGACGTGCACCGCCATCGCTGCACCCGCATCGTCTCCACGGACAAAAGTTTTAAAAAGGCACATCTGGGTTTGGAGGGGGGGCGCGCTTCCTTCGGCACCCCCGCCGCGACTGCCCGCGTGCGAGCCGGTAACAATGGTGACGCGAGCTCCGCGGCTAACCAGCCGGCTAACGCTAGCTAGTTATTAAGTGCAAACGGTAAACACCGGGCCACACACCGCGGGTCGTAACCGCCCAAGCGGCAGCCGCGCTTAACGCCAACAGGTCCGCCGGTTGCTGAGGCCAAAACACCCGCAGCCTCAGCGGCAGGTCCAGCGCATCTTTTAAAAACTGTTATCCGGTCGACACGGTCGTGGCAACGGACGGCCACCTTCACCCGGCTTAAAACGGGGATAAATCCTCACCCGAAGAGAGACTCGGCCTCCTGGTGAACCCGGGATCTCCTCCTGAGGTCAAAGCCGCCGCGTCATGGGTGTTGTTTTTCCTCTCCGGGAGAGAAGCGGGGAAGAGGGTTAGCTACGTAGCGGTAGCTGAGACTCCGACGTCCAAGGGAAAAGGGGGAATGCAGGAATGTGACGTTCACTCCCGGTTTGCTGGCCGCGGTGACACGTGAACTGGAGAGCGGGGCATTGTGGGAAATGGAGTGCAGCGTCAACGCGAGCGTTCGCTTGAGGAGATGCCAGATGAATGACTGGACGTGTCACACTATAACCCGTATACCTGCTGCACACTGTTTTTAGTTCTAAAATGAATAAAAGACAAGATAAGCACGTCACACATAATCCCCCAGAAACCATTAAGGTGGTATTAGTGGTGGAAAGTAAGTACATTTACTGAAGTAGATTATTAATGCAAAATATAATCAATAAACAAATCACGATGATAAGAGTAGGCAACAACTTTTATGAACCCCTGGGACCAATTCACAAGCTATGCAGATAGTAGTAGAAGTAGTAGTCGAATTTGGCCCCACCTTTACGAGCTTCAAAATGAAAGTGATCTAGGCCTTTATAGTATAATGAGTATACTTTGGATACTAAGTTTAAGTATATTTTGAGGCCAATATGTTTGTACTTTTACCTAAGCGAGAATTTGAATGGAGGACTTTTAACACAATATTTCTACTCTTTGCCTTTTCTACTTTTGCTTATAGGATTTAAATTATTCTTCCATCACTGGAAATAACTAATTACACGACAGAAAGACAAATTTTTAAACTTATTTATAAAAATTAAGAGGTTAGTGACTGACTGTAATCGTCAGCATAATTGTTTAAAGCTTTGACTTAAACAACTTTTAACTGTACTATATCTACCTGAACTATTGTCTATAATTCTTCACAGTTTAGTGTAATGGGCTTGAATCAAGAACCAGAATCTGTATCACATTGATATTGTATAATACAATTGTATTGTACAATTCTAAAATCCTGGCCTATAGTTCCCCTCAAATAACAACACGTGTTTAACGAGGACTCTGAACAAATGACTGCAGATCAGATCGAACCCTCTGAAGCATCATTTCAATGTAATTATGACCCCTTGTGGATGTTGATAAAAGTGCCGTCGGAGGAGCAGACTGCTCCACTGTTTTAGTTTGGAGTGTTTGTGTGTGCTTCTCTATATGTGTACATATTGTAAATAATAACACTGGGATTTTTCTGGGTCTTTAGTCAATATGTTAGACGGCTGGAAGATGAAGCTGACTGAAATATAGACTCACACATATGCCTGACGCACATAACGCGGACAGAAAGGTACACAATTCAGTGACAGATGAGCAAAAAGCTGCAGATATGCCTGCGAGTAGAAAAGGTCAGACAGTTATCCTCCTCCTCCAGATGGCTGCGGAACGTGTTCGCCACCACAGTCAGAGGCTGATTAACTACCATGGCATGATGGAGGCTCCAGCAGGTTACCACACCCTCCGCCCCATTCCTCTTCTTCTTCTCAGTCTCCCCTTCCTCCCCACTCCCTCGCCCAACGGCTCTATATCTATCCTTAGTCATGCCATAATTACTTTGTTGTCCTCTCCACATCACCCGCAGCGCTGCCAGCCTCTCATCTGTCCGTCTGCCTCCCTTACCGCTGTGCAGATGCTCCATTTCTGTCATCTCCTCTGATACAAGCTCACCTATAGCTCTTACGTTTTTGACGTGAAAAACACAGAAAACACACAGTAATAATTGTCAGACTCTGTCTTATCAATCTTATACCTGTTTTAACACGTCTATTGAGCTGCAGATTTGAGGCCAGTGTGGAGGTAGAGTGTATAAGTTGGCTTGTGTCAAAGTACTTTGCACTGTTACCAAGGAAACCATAAAGTCGAACTTCTATATCATTCCATTGTTCTAAAAATGACGACACTTGCAGAGGTTTTTGCAATACTTCACATAAGCAAACCCATTAAAATGTTTTTTTTATTTCATGTTCTCACAGTGTATTTATTAATAATAAAGACACCCACTGCGTAACAGGATTCAAATATGTGTGTGAGAGGTGTGTGTAAGTGAGCTAGTAAGGTCATACTTATCTTAACGTATAATAATCTCAGTCGGATTTATTTGCCAACAATTTATAAATGTGAATAACTTATTTTTGTCTGGTTTTCTTCTTGCTAAAGAAAGCTTTGCTCTTGAAATCCATTTTAATGTTGTGTTTGACGACACCGTAGTAACATCACGTGGAGCAAAAATAAAGTGGACAAAGCCGAATCCTCACCAGAGGGGTCAGTACTAAGGCGCAAGTTAGCAGCAGAGCTTGATGATATTTCCGTCTGTGCATGTTATAAAAGGCAAGACCATAAACATGGAATTAGACGGTGCAGGAGCCGCAGCTCCAAAGGTCACAGACTCGCCCCTTCCTGTGGCTCCGGAGGGCAACGGTGTGACAACGCTGGGCCATCACACGGTCATTACTGTACTGAGTATTGGTGTCAGTCTGTGAAGTTTATGTGGCCCCCCGTGCATCTGTTCCCACAGGTGGGATGGGTGCAGGAGAAAGAGGTGGGAGAAATGTCCATGAACCAGCTACCGAACTGGATGGAGAGAAAACCCAGTGGGTGGGAAGTGACTGAACGTTTCTTTGTGTAAAACACACACACACACACACACACACACACACACACACACACACACACACACACACACACACATTAACGCTCTGAAAATAAACACACTGATATTGGCCGGAGTTCAATGCGTTGAGTAACAAAAACACGATTTCTAACCAGCAGGTGGGGGCAGTAGACAGATCATTGGAGCGTTGTACACTGAGCGCTGCCATTATAATGTGCTGTAATCTAGTGTACCTACACACACAGGGGGTGGGAAGAAATCTACTGCAACACAATATTCCTGTGTAACACTGAAACACATTTTGTTGAGACTGTAAAACATTTATTTAATTCTGGGGAGCAAATATTAATAAAAAATTGTGTCTAAACGTCTACTAAACGTTTTTTGGAATCTCAGCATTGACTTGTTATTTTTTTAAACAGACAGCAATTGTAAATGTGGGTTATGCCCCTATAAATTGTTTATGAATCCACCAGATATTTTCTCAATTAATCAATTAGTTTGGTCTCTAAATTGCCAAGAAAAAGAAATTAGAGCAATAATAACTTAAGACATCAGTCTTGTTTATATAGAAAAGCTGAAAATGCTGAAGTTTGCAAAGCTGCCAAAGCTGACATTTGCATTTAAATACTTCAAAAGGCACAATGGATTTTTGAAAATCATCAAATTAATTTTTCTTGTCATCAACTAATGGATGTGTCCACTAGTTGCTCGGAAGAAATGTAATAAAAATTCAAGAACTGCAGCTGTTTTGTTTGACCCTTTTTTCTTTGCTCATTAACAACAAACACGGTGCATAAAAACAGGTATAATTGAAGTTGCAAAATCATCATCTTCTAAAAATGTGAGAAAGAAAACAAAAAAAAAATCCCAAATCAATTAATTTGCTCTACCCTTTGTCCTTCAGACTCCCTCTCCAGGGGCCAAGCCCCCCCCACACACACACACCCTTCGGCAGCCTGACGCTCCCCCTTCTGTTGAACCGCAGTATAGCGCGGGCCCGTCTGAGGCCCCGTGTGTGTTTGTGTGTCTGTGTGTGTGTGTGTTTGTGTGTGTGTGTGTGTGCCCGCCTGCCTGTACGCTGAGCACCCGTTGAGTAGGTGGGTCTGCTGGAAGGGAGTGGGAGAGGTGGGAAGAGGGCAGATGGAACACAGAAGGAAGTTCACCAGCAACACGTAGAGTGTCAGAGAGGGACGGAGAGGGAGGGGCTCGGAGGGACGGGACGGAGACAGCGGTAAGCGCAGAGGGGGCTGAAGTGAGAGAATGAGGGGACGGATATGCAGAGAGAAAAGATGGCGGGTGGTAAAGGGATGGGGGAGAGAAAAGGACGGAGAGGTGAGAGATGTGTCAGGTACCAGAGGGAGAGGTGATGAGCAGCGGGGGGTAAGAGGGAGGGTGACAGGTATGTGGATGGAGGGGGGGGTAGTTGGAGTTTTCAGAAGGGGAGGAGTGGGGGGGGGTGATAATGATATCAGGTGCAGGAGGGAGAGACAGTTGTGTGACCTTCAAGAGAAGTTTGATGGATGAAGGTAGATTTGTGTCTTTATTATACTACTCCTCGCAATGTGTATTCACAAAATAGTTAGACATTTCTGGCTTATTTTAGAATGCAGGGGCCGGAGATACAACTTATTGTTTGTTCAGAAATTTTTTCAAATTCATTTCAGATTTTTTCTGTTCAAAAGTATGAGCAAAAAATAAGAAATAACCTGATGTGATGTCCCCAACTGTGATGAGTGACATCACACATTCTAAAGAACAGACACTCGCAGCAATTGCTTTCTAAAGAATGTGTGAGGTCACTCATCACAGTTGGGGACATCACATCAGGTTATTTCTTCTTTTTTACTCATATTTTTGAACAGAAAAAATCTGTGGAGGGGGAGACACAAAAATCTGTATTCTCATGTTGCCACTTTTCAAAAACAGACCCTGCCCAATACGATGTCGTGTGTTTGTTTAAATCTATTATAACTTTTTAGTCTGAACTTTCGTGACACATATCGATGACACGTTTCCTGTTTATACATTTTACGTCAGCCTTTGGGGATTTCTCATTATAACCTCTCCCCCATGTCAATGCGCTTGGCAGTATGAGCTAGGCTATTTTTTTTCTCATTTATGAGCTAAGTAGTGGAATTATTGCTGTCTGGATGTGAATAATTGCTGGAGTAATTTCTACCATTAGGAGACGAAGGGTTTAAAAACAAAGGAATTGCATTCATAACCCTGTGTAAAAATCAGAATGCATATTTAATCTCCTTTGGGAAAGCATGCAGATTTGGCTTCTAATCTTCTAAACTTAAATCAGTAATAACTTTGTAATAGTTTGAGCACCTTTGCCATGTCGAGCCTCTGAATGCTCTTTTTGTCTGAGTTGTCTCCTCTTTACTGATACGAAGGTCTGGTATGCTGTCTTCTGTTTTGATAAAAAAAAGTAGCTTTTACGAAAAGACTTGCTTTCCCATGCATGTTACCTCGTTGAATAAAGCTACATGGTTACACATTCACTCCTATCCCTTGTGTGTGTGTGTGTGTGTGTGTGTGTG